AAGACACTCGCTAATAAAGGTCGTTTCCTCTTGACAACACCCACCTCTGATTAGCTGACATCATCTCATCGCGAGATTGACATCTTATGTATCGTGGTCACACAACCCGTACATTTTGGTCCTTCGAGACATCGCGAACCGCGTTTTTGACGAACATTGACAAGTGACATCGTGGCTCCTGGCAAATGACATTTAAATCAGGAGAGTGACAGTAAAAGTGCAGTGCCGTGACATTAAAGTACAGTGCCGTGACATTCATATTGAGTCAACAGCAGACTCTTATTGACTGACGCAGCTCACATCTGTGAACGGTGATTTCTGACAGCAACTTCAGGCCTGGCACCAGCTGGTGTGAAGAGTGATCGAGCATCTCAGCCATAAGTATCTCCTTCTCATCTGGACAATCTCAAGTAAGATCGTTCCATTTATTTTTTGTACTTCGGTATTTGACAAGTTTTTCTTACTTCGGTATTTGACAAGTTTTCCTGACAATCGAGATGGAAGCGCAAACTCTTTATACTCGTCAAAAGGATATTATTTCCACAATCCAGACTATAAAAATCAACTTTAAAAAAGATGGTGCGGGCAGGAAGTCTCCAGAGTATATAACCTCGAGAGTGAATACCCTACACAATCTTTGGGGTGAATTTGAAATGAATCATCAGAAACTTGTCGAATATGATGATATTACGAGTGAATATTTCGTCAAGAACATCTATGATGACACTAAGCGTACGTATGAAGAAGTACTTCACTTGTTGACTTCGTACCGCGGACAGGAAAACAAAGGTACGCAACCAGATGAAAAGCTCAATGCTTTAATCATTGAACAGAAAACGAATTTTAAGGCGTTCAAGCGGTATATCCAAAACCTTGAGATGGAGCAGTTGAGTAACAAATGGGAAATAGAAGATGAATTACGTAACCTGCAATTGAGATGGAATAACATTGACACTCTGCATTGGAAAATTGACAACATAGTTGAAGGGTCAGATATGTTCTATGAAAAGGAATATACTGAGTACGAAACCAAATTTAAAAAAGAGTAAACGGGAATTAAGCAACAAGCTGTCGTCCGCTATACATCTGCAACATTCTACCCCACAGTTGGAGGTACCTGTCTTCACGGGAAATTACAATCAATGGCCTACCTTTCTCGACCTGTTTAAAGGTGGTATACATGACAATAAGCTACTAACAAAGGCTCAGAAGATGCAACATCTTAAGGGTAAACTAAAGGGAGAAGCTGAACGTTTAGTGCAACATCTACATGTATCAGCCGAAAATTATGACACCGCTTGGGAAATTCTCAACCACAGATATAACAATCAGCAAATTTTATTCACCAAACAAATTGAAATATTTCTTAATCAACCTAATATACAGAAACAAAATTCTTACGAGTTGAGAAGATTACATGATACTACTATGGAATGCATTCACGCCATCCATAATTTAGGAATTGACACCACGACGTGGGATCCTATCCTGGTTCATCTGCTGATAAAAAAGTTTGACACGCACACATACAGCGATTACATGGAAAGTAGGAAAGAACCTCGTAAATTACCAGTATTTGAGGAAGCTATTGCATTCTTAGAGGCTAAATTTACAGCCTTGGAACCTGTAAAGAAACATGACAAGAACACATCAACAATGAATAACCCAGGTTATTCTAAATCATTTGCTTACAAGGAAAAATCATCATATGTGCCTGGGAAGAAAACAGCATTTACTAGAACATCTAGCGTATTTCATTGTGTATTGTGCAATACCAACCATGCGTTATACCAATGCAGCAAATTTGAATCTATGTCACCAGAAGTTAAATTGGCAACAGTTTCGAAATATAATGTGTGCAAAAATTGTTTATTTGTGCACGAAAAAAATATCTGCAATTCCACAAAACGCTGTAAAGAATGCAACGCAGCACACAATACATTATTGCATGAAGCATGCGTCAACCCCGATGTGACCTCAAATTCTACCAAGCTATTCACACCAAGAAAACAGCAACAGATGCGTCAGCAAACTGTTCATCACTTAGCGGACATCAGTAACGAGATATTACTCCCATCGGTTCAAATGCATGTGTTATGCAAAGACGGACAATATATTAAATTGACAGCGCTTCTCGACCAGGGTTCACAAATATCCTTGATTACAGAGAATGCGGCACAAAGACTAGGATTACCCAGACGTCACTTTGACGGTACGATCTCTGGCGTCGGTACTTTATCAAACAAATGTAAAGGGAAAATTAACCTTCAGTGCAAATCGATTCATGACGATTATACATTTAATACTGATGTTCTGATTATGCCAAAAATGATTAATCATTTGCCGAACAATTCATTTGATACTGCTCATTACAAGCATATCAATAACCTTCCACTTGCAGATCCGGAATTTAACATATCGAAGCCGATTGACGTTTTATTAGATGCAAAAATATATTCAGAAATAATAATGAATGGACTCGTAAAAGGTTCTCCACAAGAACCCATTGCACAGCAGACAAAAATGGGGTGGATTCTATCGGGAAATATTACACCATCATTTAATTGTCATGTCGTCATTAATAACATAGAAGACATTGCCAATTATTGGGAGATAGAAGACATTCCATCTGACACTGAAGTGAAAAATCTTACGCAGCAAGATCGATTCTGCGAAAATTTATTCATGACAACAACACGACGTTTACCTAGTGGAAGATATGAAGTGAGGTTGCCAATGAAGGAAGGGTTTGAAAGTAAGCTGGGAGATAGCAAACCACAAGCAGTGGCTCAGTTCAAACAGCAGGAAAAGAGGTTCCAAAACGATGACACTTTATATGACAATTATAAACGATTTATCGACGAGTATATTAATATGGGTCACATGAAGAAGTGTGTTACTAAGACAAAAGTAAGCTGCATACTTCCACATCATGGAGTGATTAAAAATGACTCTACTACAACGAAGCTTAGAGTTGTATTTAATGGGTCGAGCAAAACTACATCAGGGTTCAGTCTGAATGATCTGATGGAATGTGGTCCGAAGCTCCAACAAGATATCCTGTCTCTTCTTCTGAGATGGCGAATATATAAAATTGCATTCACGGCAGACTGCGAAAAAATGTATCGTATGGTGATGCTTCAAGAAGACCAGCAGCATCTGCAAAAAATTGTCTGGCGGGACCAATTAATGAAACCGCTGGAAGAATATCAACTGTGTACAGTAACCTATGGTACAAAAGCAGCGCCATATTTAGCAATGAGGACGATAAAACAGTTAGCAAGTGATGACGCACAGAAATATCCCCTTGCAGGCAAAATTTTGGAAAATGACCTATTTGTTGATGACCTAGTTAGTGGCGCTCATACCATAGAGCAGGCTAAAAATATACAAGCGGAAGTAATTGACATGTTGAAAGGAGCAGGATTTAACTTAAGAAAATGGTCGAGTAACACGCCGGAGTTACTAATGCATTTGACAGAACACCAATTAAATCCATCGGTATTGGACTTCAAGAACGCTGACTCTACTAAAACACTTGGACTTAGATGGAATCCGGTTACCGACACATTTACATATCAAAACAAAATAGATCGCGCAACCGAGACATACACTAAACGTACTATGTTATCTGATATATCGAAGATTTTTGACCCACTTGGTTGGTTATCGCCTGTCACATTGAAAGCAAAGCTCATATTTCAACGCGTGTGGTCCACCGAAATAGGCTGGAATGATACAGTTCCTCAAGAAATCCAGGAAGAGTGGAAGTTACTGAGGGATGACTTGGACAATATCAACTACCTTGAGATACCGAGATGGATTGGTACAACAGAAACTGACATCGAAATACATGGATTTTGTGATGCTTCAGAAAAGGCATACGCATGTGTTATTTATGCCAAAACCCGACATGAGTTTCAACAGACAACAATACAACTTATAGCAGCTAAAACAAAATTAGCGCCTGCCAAGAAGAAACTGACATTACCACGGCTAGAACTTTGTGGAGCCCTACTATTGACAAAACTTGTTGCAAAGGTCTTACAAACTTTTGCAATCAATAAAATTCATGCACAGACTTATGCTTGGACAGATTCCATGGTGGTGATTGGATGGTTGCATGGGAATCCGTCACGTTGGAATGTGTTCGTGGCAAATCGTACACAACAAATTATAGCCGTTATTCCCGCAGTACAATGGAGACATACAAAATCATCTGACAATGCAGCAGACTGTGCAACTAGAGGCCTTACCCCTTCCCAGCTGAGAGAGCACTCATTGTGGTGGAAGGGACCTACGTGGCTAAAGGATGACGTTAAAGAAAATACTCTAAATATAGAAGACCCGGAGATTGAAATCAAAAGAAATCCCCAAGTAATGACTACACAATTAAAATATGAAGTTATTGAAAACATATTAGAAAAATACAGTTCTATTACTCATGCGGCACGTCTTGTCTTGGGTATCGCGTTTCATAACAAATACTCGGTATCGTATAACTAAAAAGGCAAGGTATGAGTCACCAACAATTAACGACAATAATTACCTGACATCGTCTGAAATAGAAAATGCATATAACATACTTATTCGGATGACACAAGTTAAAGAGTACCATGATGACATTGCACAAATACAACGAACAGGATCGGTAAAAAGCAGTAGTAGTCTACTTAAACTGAGTCCGTTTTTGGATAAGAAAGGTATTTTGAGAGTTGGTGGGAGACTGGAATATTCAAACTTGACAAACGACACCAAACATCCCATCATACTTCCGAAAACATCAAGACTGACAGAATTACTTATTAACCAGGCACATAAAACGACACTTCATGGAGGTCCTAGACTTACCTTGATGTATTTACGACAGAAGTTTTGGATTATAAGCGGATATGTAACAGTCAAAAAACATATTCGTCGTTGTATAACGTGTTGTAGATTTAGTAACGTACAAAAAATCAATTG